ATGAGCTATTTGATCAGGTAGAATCAATCGGAAACAACCTCTCTACCCCCCAAAAGGTAGGGGTTAGTCTACAAACATGTCACATTCTCCAACCCTTGTGGAATTACACTGGATATATTGTTGTTGTTGTTGTCTGTGATCGGCTAGAATACAAGTAACTACAATGCACAATTCTAATATGCAATTTCGAATCGACTAGAAGAAGTAGTGAAAGGAGGTAAATTAAGATGATACAATGGTCATTTTTCTCTGGTTCCAGTTTACACATTCATTTTCTTGTACAACTTCTGGGAATTGGAGTGGAACTAATACACTTTTGGCATTCTATGTAACTGCAGCAGACAGTGCAGATTACTTACAAAGGAGAAACACAATAATCATTGCTGAAATAACTTCAAATCAAATTTCAACTACCACACACTGTTCTATCTAGACACCTATCACTAACTTTAGTGAAGAGCTTAGGGATCTGAAACACCTATCACTAACATGAGCAAACAGCTTAGGTTTCTGAATCACCTATCACAAACATGAGTGAAAAAGCTTAAAGTAAATGTGCATTAACACTGCCTTCTTCGTTTCAGACGAGTACCAATTGGAGGTTGTTGTTGAAGGCTCGATGAAGGGGAGTAACTAATGTCAGGCACAAACACTGCAGAGTCGAATGGATTCTGGTAAGTTTTGGGCCAGTAAAGTCCAGAGGCCGTAGGTGGGGAAGGAACTTGTGGCACTGCCCAAGATGTGTCTGGCACCTGACCCAAGAACTCATCACCATCTAGTTCTTCATCTTCAATTCTTAAGATTGATGAAGAGTCTGACTCTCCACCAAGTTTGCCATTATCCGCCTGATAGATTTTAATGCAGGAACTAATTTAGAAGCCATTGTACATAATCCCTGTGCAAATTATTGATTATCTAGGTATATCCATGCATTCTACTTATAGCAAAGAGGCAAGCGATAGACTGAATATTTCCATTGGGAAAATGAAACATAGTCATTGCTGTCAAACTCTTGAATAAAATACCTTTGCCAACATGAATCCCCACCTTTGACTAGTCATATCTAGCAAACAAATGGTCGAAAATGTACCTTCATACACTAAGCACCCACAGAAACAATTATGTGACTGACATCAAGGCATATTTTCTGTAGCATGAATGCCCAAAACAAAAGGGCACGATGTAATAGCTAAAGCTGCTCTTTTTTCTCACAACCCTAAGCAAGGTTGTTGATCCAGCCAGCCACATGCTAATAATAATGGTGCGCTTTAGAATGTCTATATTGAACACTAATTGAGACTCGGAATTCGAAGCATTTGAGAGGCCCAAATTTACTTGGTGAAGTGCAAGATAACCAATATGGTAATACTCCAACAATCTTTAGCACCTATGAGTTTGTCATACGAAAGGGAAGGGCAAGTTCATGGCAAAATGTCTGTCCAATCAAATGATTGAATTGGGGCTAACAGTATATGCATAAAGTGGTCATACCAACAGATAATCCAACCATAAACTCATTTTCCATTTCCATGTCTTCAGATGAAGATTATTCTCTAGTTTCTTGTTGGGGAAAATACACGCTTACGTTAAACCCTTAAGTATAGATAAAAGAGCATGCATGCATGCCACACAACTGTGCTGGCAGGAATAGACTCCATCAGGGATTTTTCTCTTTTGGATGATAGTCCAATACAACCAGGTCCAGCTAAGGAGATATCAGAAATACAGATGCAATCCAAGATATTCATGAAAGGTAAGATCTAAACCATACCTCAAATAATCAGTCATCCATTCCATACTTCTGATTAAAATGCATTCCAAGAAATTCATCTAATTTCAATTGTGAAATACTACAAACAACAACAATTACAACTTAAACCGTACCTTATATGATCCATCATCCATGTATCCATAATTTTGATTGAAATCACTCAGACCAATAAATTCATCAAACTGCCATTGCGGCATACTTCCAGCTGCAGAACCTCCAGCAAACGGAGACTTAGTAGGAGCAAAATCCCCAACCCCACTAGCCTGGGTAGGTAATACTTTGTTAAATTGAGCATCCAATGATACTGGGGCATTTCGTTTAGAAAGTGGAGCAGACTCCGGTTCAGAAACCTTCTGAATGGACTGTGACGTCGCTGAGGATGAAATACCACCAGGATCAACAGGTTCAAGTCCTACTTTCACTCCAGTCAGCAAAAATCTTTGGTGAGCTGCAACATGAGGATTAGCTGTGTGAATAGCAATATCACATTTTCGGCAAAGTAATGCCCGATCCTCAAGACAAAAGAAATAGCCAACTGTTTCCTGCATAAATAGAATCCTTTTTATCAATACTTTTCTTAGTATGGCAGTAATAAACTGGAGATAAGACCAATTAAAAAATAAAAAAGAAAAGAAATTGACAGATAAATAAACATGAATTATATACATCTAAAGTCACACTGAAGCACAGAAGAGAAGGGACTTCCATTAGAAGGTAGCAAAATTTCATAAACTTGGGAAATAACTGCTTTGGGTCCACAAAGGGAAAGGAAAATAAAACCTTGGCCATCCAATCAAATCTCCAGAAGAGAAAGATGCAATCACTTTCCCTAAGCCAAGTGGTAACTTATGCTTCATGCGACTGTATGAGTACAACTAATAACCACAATAATGTCTGCAATTACAATAGAATAAAAGGCCAGTAATGTTCGTGATTTGATATCATGAGCACTCCAGATGATTGAGTAAGCATTACAATCTGAACAGGCACATTTAATCCTATGTGATACTAAAAATTTCGACCTCTAACTGAGCTTCTATATGTTTTTTAAAACATGGAGCTGCATCCCCCTTAGAGAAGTGTTTTTTTCTTCTCTTATTTCTTTAAAAATGAAATTATATTTTGAGTGGATCCCCCCTTAGAGCAGAGATGTGGGTTGCAAAAGCTAACAATAGTTTTCTGCCTATGAATATTCATAATTATGAACTGGAGATTGGAGAATAGGTAATGGTTAAAACTCCAGCTTAAGGTTTCTGCTTTATAAGGGGGTAAATGCACCATCACCTCACCTTCTCCCCCATCCCAGGACCTCTTTTTTCTCCCTTTTTCAATAAGGTGAATAACTAAAGGAGACTGGACTCAACCTCAGTATGTGTTTCCTCTTCAGGAAAAAGTGTACACTAGACGATCCTTAACCATGAACCCTTATGTGAACAACAAGTAATCATAATGGGGTGTTCCTTCTTGATATGTGTAATACAGTGGTTCTTCTGATGATCACATGTTTGAACTGAATTCTATCATTACCTCTCGAATTACAGTTTTATTCCTATAACATGGGGCACTCAATAATGCATTTCAGTATATCTTATAAACAGATGTTGAGAAACTTCTAAGCAGAAAAGTACGAATCTATCACCTCTTGCTTCCTTAATCTCTTGCCCAAAAGGACTGCCAAATAAGGGAAACAGGTACCCCATAGTTTAACATTAAGAACCTCTAGATGAGCCCTCCACATACCTTATGCAAACCATATCCTACATTAATTTCCATGAATCAGCAGCTTTCCATGGAACCATAACCAATCAAGAAGGCAGCAGAATATTTAAACTTAGACCTCCATATATCCATACGTGAACAAGATCTGCATATCTTCATAATGCACGCAGGAAGGAATACCCCTAATCTCCTTTCTTTATTTTGTTCTTTCCTTCCTCTTATGTGGGTTTCTTTTTTATTTTCTAAAGGGGAGGGGTGGGAACATCAAGGGAAACAAAGACCAAATATACAATTTCTACTGGAACAACATGATTGAAAGAATTTAGATCTGCACCTTAATATTAACTTTACTTGCATATCTTTCCACAAAACAAAAAAATTAGTTCAGTAGCACTCGAAATTTAAGACATATAAACAGTTGTATCAGGCATGGAGTGGCTAACTGGGTTGTTTAACGTCATTTTTAGAACAAAAAAAAGGCCTGAACAATAAAGGTGGAGTACAATGATCTCGTTGTACAAGAACAAGGGTTATATACAGAATTATGACAACCATAGGGGTATCAAGTTGCAAAGTCACACTACGAAAATTTGGGAGAGGGTGGTAGAGATGAGGTAAGAAGGGCTGTGTCAATATAGGGAGAGGAAGATGGACTTACATATGGTGTTCATTAACCTAGAAGAAACGTACGACAAAGTCCTAAGGAGGTTGTGTGAAGATGTTCGGAGGGTAGATGTGTACCTGTAGCTTACGTTAGGGCGATGAAGGACAGCTACGGTGGAGCCAAGATCTGGGTACAGAAGTGGGAAGAGACTAGGAACACTTTCAAGTCATGATGGGATTGCACCATATATCAAATCTAAGCCCCTTTTTATTTGTCTGGTGATGGATGAACTGATGCAACATATCTGATGGAAGTGCCATGGTATATGCTATTTGCAAATAACATAGTATTGATTGACTAGACACGCAACGGAGTTAACAGTAGGCTGGAGGTTGTAAGACAGACTCTGAAATCTAAAAGGTTCAAGTTGAGTAGGACCTAGACATAGTGCTTATACTGCAAGTTTCCCTTATAAGTATCATTTTTATTACTCCCATACTAGCTTAGTCTATGATTTTATTATTACATATTGCTTCCTTTGCCTCAATCATTGATATTATTTATTCCAACAACTGTTCTTTTCTCCTTTATTTTCTTCACTGTATTTTCATCCACAATATCTCTGCCTTCCCAAGATAAGAGTGAAGCTGCATACACACCACCCACAGACCCCACTTGTGGGATTACACTAAGTAATGTTCCTATTGTTCTATAAACAATAGTATCACCAAAATATCTATCATTAACTTATACTACAAAAAAGTCAAAAATACAACTTTATCCATGTCTAATTGATGCTACTCCAAAACAAATAAAAATAAATACAACTTACGCAGCTGAATCATTTACAATATCAACATAATCCATTCAAAATATACCTAACATTTCAACACTTTACAAGAGGAGTACGATTATATACCTGGCAGATGTCACACATAGGCATAGATGAAGAAGAACCAGACAGAGGGACTCTCTGATGTTTACTAGCAAGCTTATTAGCAGCATGAACCTTCTCATCACACGACCAACACAGCGCCGCCTCATCGGCGCAGCACAAAACGTTCGCCTCCGCAACCTCACAAACGTTACACTGAATCTTCATCACTTCTTCAGCAAATTTTAGCAAGAAGATCTATGGTTAATATTGACAAAAAAGGAAGAAGCAAAAGATCTGGAAGTTGCAAGTGGGTGGGTTTATGCAGTAAATGAACCGAATAACGGTGCCTGGAGTGAGTGGGGAAATGCAATTTTTGATTTTTTAGTATTTGTACTGTTGGCTTTCTCAGAAATTTGGGGGAAAATAAAGAAATGGTTGATTTTGAGAGAACGTGTCGGGTTTACAATGGTGACCCGCTGAGCTGGATGTGGGTACTCTTGACGATTTTATTGATATTTCGTTATATAATCCTATAAAAATATCAAATGGTTCAATAAGAAGACAAGAATAACATCCATTAGAATAATTTATCCTAAAAAGATTTTTTTTTTTTTATAGAAGCCAAAACAAAGATTATAAGTTAGATATTATCTATCTAAAGAGTCAAAATGAAGTACAAAAGTATAATATCAAGGAGTTTTTTTTTCTTTTTTAATGAATCGGAACGAAAAATGATTGAGTTTCAATAGACTTTGCTATTTGCAAGTTCAATCACGTGCTTAAGTTGGTTGCAAGAAAGTTATTCCGATTGATGGAATTTATACCAAAAGATTTGATATGGTAATGATTGGTGTTGAAATAGCAACTTTTTAGATTTTAAAGTATTTACTCAAAATAAAAAGTGTGTGATTCTTTTTACTCATTGGTATAGTCGTATAGGTATCGAATGATTTTGTGCACCAAAATTTGAATAAATGAGAAATCAATACCTAATATTTTTATTTATGAAATTTGAACTTAAGATTTCGTACCCTACTATCAATCCTTAGATACTCTATTATGCAATGATATTATGAATAACAGTAAAAATAATGAGGGGATGGTGTGGAGTAGTTTGTATACTTGTGGGGAGGCCAAGGAATCCCACATATGTATATCATAAATCCACCCTTTCCTATTAAACATTATCCAAAATAATTTAAGAATTTTTATAATGGCAATGAGATTTTGTACATAAGTCTCATTTATCCCTCAATAGGTATGTTTGAACCTGACTTGAAAATTAATTGATTTGGAGTTGAAATTATGTTTGACTATGTAAGGTAAATTTCTTATGTCCTACTAATAAATTGTGCAAGTGGTATGATCTACAAGGTCACATATAATATCTAATGTCCTTGCTAAAATGAAGTTGATTTTGTTTCTGTTTTTCAATCTGTCCGGAGCTTATATTGAATCACCGATTAAATTTAGATCGTGCATTGTAGGGCCCATTCGGAGGTGGCGTTCCTAAAAGAATTTTATTTTATCCATACTTAGGGCTCAAACTCGAGATCTCTGATTAAGGATGAAGCAGTCTCATCACTACACCATAACGGTGAAGTTGATTCTTTGCTAGTGGAAGGCAATAGCTTTGATGAAGCCGACACGCAATTTAGTGTGGGTGCCAACATGAATACCTCGTTACTTTTTTATGTTCAATATCTATCATCCTACTTTTAATGACTTCTCTACTATGGCTTGCGTGTGTTTGTCACAGCCAATGAATTCATATTTTTCAATATTGCAATCACTAAGATCTTCAATGCCATTTGACATTTAAGATCCCCTCCCCACCCACCCCAAATATACACATATTTTTCATCAAGATATACAAAAAGAAGAAAAATATCACAAGTTGTATAAAAAGGAAACTTCATATAGTGTAGGGGACTTATCCCTTGAACAACTTGAGTAATGGGAGAACGACCGTTGAATTTTGTAGTGGTAGAACCTTGTCAACTTTTCTTCTTACGAAATTTCTAGTGAGATTGAAAAAGAAAAGAAGAATGGTATAGTGTGTCTTCAGACCCGTTTGGCCATAGATTTCCCAAGTAAAATTTGGGGGGAAATTTAGCAAATAGTGTTTGTCCATACAATTTGTCATTATTTGGCAAATAACCCAAATACTAGAAAAAACTAGTATTTGGGACAAATCTCATTATTTAGGATCTTTTAGAAATTTAAATTCTACACCAAACTCTTATCTTTTACAAAAACATCCTCTATAATAGTTGTTTGCGTTGTATAACATAATTTTTTACGTAAACATCAAAGTAGTGATGGAATATTTAGTGAATATGAAAGTGATAATATGGTTATTAATGAAAATGATGAACAATCGGCTCAGGATTACAAAGTCATGTGCTTTGTCTACTTAACGATGTATGGAATGATGCTTGTTGCACTCACTCCAAACTACCATATCGTTCCAGTGTCATAGACACTACTTGTTATTTGTTGCAACGAAGAATCCAATTGACTTGTAATACAAACATATATTTAGTTTTGATAGTTTTTAAAACTTATGGGTATAGATCATATTTTCTAAAAAATTTGAAATATGTTTCCCAAATACTATGGTCACACACATGGTGAAATTTCACCCAAATTTTAACGCAAGTAATATTTGCCAAAAATATTTGGTAATCTATGGCCAAACGCTAGCTTCATATGGCAATTGTCATTGTTAATGGACTCGAACTTGAGTGATCTATTCATGATCAGGATGAAGGTGAAAAACCAAATGGGGTCCTTATTTGTAGTATTTCTATCTATTTGGGTGATGTATAATTCTTCTGTTTTACTGTATGAAATTTCCATGAATTAGAACTATAAGAACGTTGCACAAGCTTTTAGGTTCGACCTCAATGGAAAAACAACATTTAATTAGTAAGTTACAGCAAAAAAATCTTAAACCAAATAGAATGCTTGTTTTCTCAAAATATGCCAGTGTCTATGCATTGTATACCTATCTTCAATGCCAGAATTCTCAGAGCAAATTCCCAATCGGGTTTTTCTTTATGTGTATGTAACTAACTTGAAACCTAGATAAACCTCATAACACCTCCTTAAGGAGGACTCAACTCGGACACCTCAATGTTCATACTAAAACAATGTGATAAGTCTATAAGCGTCAACTAGAAACTACCTCTTTTGCATGATTAGAACTGCTTTGAAATGTGATCCACATCTCCTCGTAATAGTGTTTCTGGAGTTGCAAGTCTAGAGAGCAGAATCCTAAGGCACAACCGTCTTCCCTGCAGGCCTTTGAGCTGAGAAATTGTAAAACTGTCATCATCTAGCATTGTGCACTAGTACGAAAAGGTTGCAAGAGTTAAAAGGGAGAATCTGCCAAACCCTTACACCTTCATGTAAGCAAATTTACAAGACTTCAATTCTGTTATGTACTCTCATGATATCAAGTGAGATGGCAAGAAAACTTTCAATTTTGGAGCTTTGGAAGAGAGTTCAATGATATCCCCATGTTGAACAGAGTGAATAAGATGAGAGCCATCGATATAAATCAGCCCTTCTTTGCAATACCATGCAATCTCCATCAACTCCTCAGGCTTCACAGTACCGTTCATCAGGCTATTATAAGCTCCAGGAGAAATGGGTTCTCTCACTATATACTGGAGATCTTGGGACAAAATTGGCATTGCAAATCCACCAGTTGAAAGCATTGCAGCTGTTGACCCAGCAGCTGTTGACACTCTAAGTCCACTTGATCTGCAATGCACCATAGAAGAAGAAGACTGGTCCTCTTTCTTTTTACTGTTAAGAGAAAACATCATTAAGCACCTACCTCAACGCAGCATAGATGGACAGTATGCTTCATATGCTACAACAAATAAAACCTTCACCTGAATGAGAATCGAGACACTGTAGCAGGGCAAGGATGGCAAATTAAAATATCATTTAATGCATAAGTCGGAAGTTGCTTTGAGTTGAGAGTGACTGACATCCTTGAGACTTCAGAAGGTCTAGCATGATTTTCAAGGATATCATCTATAATCTGCAACAAAAGGTTTATTAGTTAAGACCTTGGGCAGCTTCCTAAATCAAGAGTTGTGGCAGCATCATGGTGAAAAAGTTGCGTCCTTATGGGAAAGTGAATATGCTACTGTGAGCATGAAATGATTCATTTTGTTGGGAGTCACCCCTTTAATATACATAACTCCACATGAGAAGAAGCTAACATCACTCCAGCTGAAGCAAGTCAGTATAAACGAGCTAGTTAACCGTTATAATGACAGCCTGATCCCCCTACTAAAACTAAAACATGACCATGATACAACTAGGATATATGTAGGGACATCATTGTGTTGAAGCAGGCTGTTTCACGACTTTGAACCAGGATTTACGCTTTCTGATCCCCATACACATTACTCGGTGGTAGTCTAAAATAAACAAGTTCTTATGCTTTTATAAACAAGATCTTTTGGAAACTTAAAATGCACAAGTAAAAGCTAGAGAACAAAAAACAACTTTATTGCTCTTTTTAAGGGTGAACCATAATCCAGTGTGGGAGAACCATAAAAAAAACTATTAAGGACAAAGTAATTGTACATGACAATAATTCCAGACAGTTTGAACAAATCAGTAGTTCTATTTTTTCCTCAAAATAATAAAATAAAATACACCTCAAGGTTATGGGGCTCGTTGCCACTGGAGCCAAGTCTCACTGGTCATAGAAAGACTAACTAAAACAAACTTTAGGCGCCAGAAAACCAACCATTTCGACTGCACACTAAACTTGTATCAATAACTATAAGCATACACTTGAATTTACTCTGACATACTATTATTCAACAGTATTTTCACACATAAAACTAATCATGAGTAATCATACGAAGTCATTAGTACATTTATGGGAAAACATAAATAATAAGTAACGAAGTCTCACTTGTTCAAAGTTCTTGACAGTTGCCGCACAAAGATATCCTGTACTCCTTGTAGCGTCAAATTCTTCATTGTAATCTTCAACCTAAACCACATAAGAAGTGACAAAGCAACTTGAAATAGAAGTCATCACAGGTAGACTTGAATATGGATTCTGAAGAAGTTGATAGCCACAAAACATAAACAACTGCAAAACGAGCTAACCTCTTCTGCTTGAGTTGGGTCAGAATTTACTCCTAGAACAGGAATGGAATCATCCATAAAATGGCTTGCCTGCAGTAATGTACCATCTCCCCCTATTGTAACTACTAAATCTACATCACGGATCGGCCGACATAGATTAAAACGATAAACAGCTTCCCAATCGACAAACTTTTTCCTCAAAATGTTCTGACAGAAGTTTATAGCCTCCTTGTGAACCAGACATCTACTGTCTAAATATTTTAATACCTGCAATAACTGCAGGAGAAGAAGTCTCATCCTACTGGAGCATCAGAATTTAAGAATAGAGGCATGTGCCAG